GCGTTGTCACGAGTAGTGTAAGTAAGTAATAATTATATTTACCTAACACAACTAAGAAAGAACGAATTATATATATATATATATATATATATATGTGTTTGTGTGTGTGTGTGTGTGTGTGTGTGTTTGTATATATGTAAATGGTAACCTCCAAAATAAGATATTAATGCCACATTAATATACTGTTGAAGTTTCACTTTTATTTCCTAAACAAAGTTTAAAATATTTCAAATTTCAGAGCAAACCAAACCAGAACTTAGATAGAGGCATTAATATATGAACTTACTAGATTTAGTGAGAATACCAAAATTAAATTTGTTATTCTTACTAATGAAATACATTTCTTTTGTATTAACTTTGTATGTATTAACAGCTTGTTGGAAAGTTAATAAAAGCAGGAAAAAAATATTCAGAAAATTAAAAAAGCATTTATGGAAATTATAAAATATCCTCCACACGCTTAACGTCTAGACTTGAAAATTGGCAAAAAAATGTTAAGACACACAACAGTAATAATAAAATTATTAATTACAATTTTCCTATTTAGTAGGCAATATAAAATTACATTAATTAAAAAAATATACAGATCATGAAAATTATTCCATATTAAAGACATAATAAATTTATTAAAAAAACAATGAATTAAACATAAGAAATTTCAAACATTTTAAAATGAATCATGAGCCTTCTAATAAAAGATTTAATATCAAATATAAAACTACAGCTAACAATAAAAATATTAAAAACTCTAACATAATTTATGCTAACTTTACACTTTCCTTGCAAGAAATGTTTGTAAGGAGAAAAAAGGAAAAAAAAATCAAAGATATGAATGACATAACAACTCAAATACATCATTACAAATATTAAAAAAATGGCATAACTTACTTGAGATACTCCATTATTACATCACTTTTTCTAAAAAACAAAAATAAAATAATAATTGAAAAACTTGTTAAATTAATACCTATACAGATACAACCAGAATATGTCATAGTTTTACAAGAAAAGGATAATAATGGCATTTTTAAAATAGTAAAACTTCTCAGAAAAGGAAAATCAAATTATAATTAAAAATGTAATAACTGAAGTATCTAATACTGTATACAAACCTTGTAAATATTTTGTACAAATAACTGATAAAGAATCAAACCTCTAATACCTGTACAACATTCTAAAGAAATAAAGTTAACATTTCGTATTAAAATATCTCGCATATCATCAAGATATTCATTATAAAAAAAACATTTAATTCTTTCATTAAAACTTTTGTAGTATCTTAAAAGCGCACAGATAGTAGTTGACTTTGAGAATATATAAATTGTAAAAACTATATAACTTGAAATATGCAAATTCTAAATAGAAAACATTAAAAATATGTACATCACACCAAAATAATAAACATGTACATCCATCTAACTAATATCAATACAATGTTCTTATATATATATATATATATATTGTAATTTACCTGAAATTAACACCAAATTTAATATACTGGTTAGATTTTTCAGATTACTCACATGGAAAAGTTCAATCCTGAATTGTACACAATTGTTTCAAGGGTAACAGTATAACTTTTTTAAAGGTTAAATCATATTTATTTCAAACATTTATAAACTCTAAGCCAACTGTGAAGAACTTGATCAATAGTTTTCAGATATAGTTGTGAATAACAGAGAAAATCCTTGTAGGGCAAGTGAAAAAGATATAAAAATTTGATAAAATATTATCTTAGTGTCAGAAAGCAGAGGGTGGTGTTAAATGAGAATTTTCCTGACTGAAAGAAAATGACTGGTGGGTTTTTTTCAAGGGTTTGTTGCTTGTTCATTATCCAAGTCCATAAGTAGTAGAGTTTATGGGGGAATACTTTTTACAAATCTGTTTATAAATGACATTAAAATGCTGTTTCTGTTGAAGATTTTTTTTTTAATTCAGAAAAGCCTGTTCTGTTTTCAGAAGTGGAACATAACATCTAAAATGAGAATAAGTATGAAGAAAGGTATCTAGACTATGAAAACTGGGAAAGGATTCACTATTTTTATACAAGAGAAACACTTGTATTATGAAGAAAGAAATTTACTTGTAAGTATCTATAATCCCTAAAATTTACAACAATGTTTGGCTACGAGATTTACTTATGGAAACTACAAAATGTAAAAGACTTGATGAGGCCGCATTCATAGGAGTGTATTTAATTTTACTTTCTAACTACAGAAAGGATATAAAGATGCAATGAACATGAGTGATTATCAAAACAAGTAATTCAGAGAGACTTCAAAACTTGAGTCAGGGTCTTGATTTTACTAAAATAATGAAAAGTCAGAGGATATCTTATTCATGTGTTTGAAATAGCTTAGGGCTTATAAAGATGGACTAAGTGTTGAAGTTCTTTTCTGAGTGGTGTAAGGATAAGATTAGAAACTGAAGCTTGAATATTAGGGTTAGAAAGTTGAAACTTCAAATGCCTAAATTCACTCTTGTTCATTAGCAAAACTAGTTATTGGTCAAGATTTATAATATAAGACTTGTAATGTAAATTTAAAATTATTTAAACTTTGATATGTATTGGAAGCAAAGTATTACATTTACATTTGGTTAGCTTGGTGGTTACAGGGGTGACCTCACCGAGTCAAATGGCTTTCTCTCACTTAGCTAATTATATGTGTGTGTGTGTACATATAACATCTTTAGTAAAAATGACCACTAAAAATGTCATGTGAATCCCAAGTTCACAAAACAAGTATATCTATCCATTATAATACTATGTCGGTACAGAATTTCCAGACAATTTTAGTTTTGGTAAAATAAATGGAAAATTTGATTGAATTTATTCTGTGATATAAGTGATTAAAAATAATGTGAAGTTATCAAAAATTGTATAGAAACAAGATAATTAATATGTCCTGGGCCTGAAAGAATACACTCCTATAATCCTTAATACAAATATAAAATAAGCATAGAAGCATATTCTATCTCCAAGATAACAAAAGATTATTTTTAATTGATTTAAAACAATTTAGTTTCATGTACAATTTTCATCAAAAGATTATTACAAAAACAGTGTTTGAATTATGTTCTCATCCTACAGTTAATTAACTTTGTTTTTCAAAAAGGTAAAAAAAAAATAAAATATATATATATATATATATATAATTATAATGTTACACAAAACATATACGCTTCCATATTAAACAATACAAGTTGTTTCCAAATATTTGTTATAATTCTTGAACTTCAAGTCACAAGCCCAGCATTAATAAGAAAATTTAAATAAACCTATACACAAAATTACACCTTTCAATAAATACGAAAATTAAACTATACCAAATAAAAAGATCTATTAGTGTTAATTATTGACACACATTTCTTAATAAACACTGGAGCTACAGTAATACTATCAGCATTACTAATAATAATAGTACTATTAGTACTAGTATTACTATGTATGACTCGTTTTGAAAAGATAAATGGTTAATGTAGAATGTGGTTGTACTAAATATTCACATCTGTAACTGTTTCAATGTTATTTTTCCAAATACATATTACTGTCTGAAGTTAAACTAAAAGATAAGAATTAAAACTCTACACAACTAAACTACTTTCAAACACTTTGAAATAACCGACAGTAATATTGCCAGCTCCACGTTTTACTCAGTTTAATTAATTTAATGACAAGTGTGTTAACAATACTTTGACGGTGGGCATTCCAACATTACACCAGAGTCCATATTTCATTTCATTATTTGCCAACGCTTACCAACGTCGTTAGGCCTAACGTTTGAACGGAATAGGCCTAATGGAGATGGTAATCCTCGCCCACATGTACACTTTTGAAACTTAGAAAATAAAATGGTTTTCTGAAAACAGGATATTTACAGTCTAAACAATTAATACATGTGAACATTTTCAATACTCACACATTACGAACGGCTGTGCAGCTAAAACTGAGAACACACGAACCAACGAGCTCATACGATCCAGGCTTTCACAACTTATAGAATGAGGAACCTAACACAGAAGTTGCTTGACATCCTATACTCGCTCAGCTTACATATTACACACACACGGAAGCTGTCTCGTCCAAACGCGGGTGATACCACTTGTGTCTGATCAAGGGAGGGAACGAGATTCAATCACATATGCCAAAAGGACGAGGATAAATTTAAAATATTTTCATAGTTTGGAATTAACCTGTTTCAATTTATATATTTAACACATACAGTCTTATATACAAACAACGAATTTTACTACTTTATAACTGAGCTACTATTATTACTAAAATCTGATCAATCATAGTTCATATAAGTTTCTATGCGCTCCACCGAAGGTAACACACAGGCTACATACAAAAAGCTCAACTGAAATGATAAATTCTATATACATTTTCTGCGAGGCTTCGTTATCATGTTTTTTCTTGTTCTCCCTTTTAATCATCTCTATAACATAGGTGTATATAATATACACCACAACTTGTTGATTTAAATACTTAATAAGCCCTTTAAAACACGATAGCCTAGAAAGGGCTTCAGCCATATTCCTTTGTTCCGACACGCACGACAGAAAACTCACCCTTAAAGGGGTTACTCCGCAGAGCTTACTTTTTCTCAGTACAAACTCAATGTACAAAACTCATCGTTTACTTGTTCAATTTTAAAGTAAATAAAAGTATAAATACATATTTGACTCATAATTTACCATTTTGAAACTACCCACTGAAACATTATTTGGGAAAGTAGATTTATTTTGTCTTTCATAACGTTACGAACAGTTTCCACGGCCAACCAAATACGATTTTTCGACTAGCTCTGGGAATGCTTTGCAAACACTGTAAGATGTATTAGTGTGTAGAAGACGAAACAAAATAGATTTATCATCGCGTTATAATCATATATGTTTCTCGAGCAGAATTTCTGAATATACCGTTTTTAAAAGTCACAGAGTAACTTCTGAATGAGTTGAATCTGAACTTGCATTCAGGGACTGACGAGGGAGGGGTAAAAAGAGTGCAATTTAACGTCCTTCCTCTTCTGACAATAAGGCCTATCCCTCGAAGTTTTTCACGTAATCGTGGTTAGTTTGGCTCACCTGTATGAAATGATCCACATTTTTGTTGTTACCTTTTTTAGTTTCCTTTTCTAGATGCTATAATAATTAATTTCACGTTAGTGCCTTGACTTACTGGCAGACAACACTGTAATGTGAGTGTGAAAATGTATATATTTGATAGAACGATTAATGAGAGTACTGATTGGAATAAAAATAATAAATTATATACCACTAATGATTATAAGAATTGCAAATCACCGAAGAAAAACAAAGAGAAAAATTTGGCATATAGCAAGAATACACAGGGAAGTATTCCTTCATATATCGATTCCCGATTTATTATTTTCTTGTATTGTCACTGCTGACTACATTCGTAAGGATGTGCTTCATGATAAGTTTCAGAATTCAAAATAACCTCTGTTAGTATTGTACATCATTCTGAAAAGGATATCTTTCTATATAGGTACGTGCAACGTATATACACGTGTTTTAAGCATGCAATAAAATTTTATAATCACGAAATAATGTAGGCGCTTAGTGTTGTTTCCTTTTTCTGAAATACTTCAGAAGTACACTAAATGACGTGGATGTGTGATTGCGGGTATTCCACTTTTGATATTATTGTTTCAAGCTCCATGTGCAGTTCAAACAGTATGGAATTTCGTTCAAGGAGAGGTAGTTTTACTTCTCTAAGTGTTAAAAACCCACGAACTTCTGGGGACTTCGCCCCTTGAACTTTGCTGGGGATCCTCAGGGGTGCCCAGTTTAATATATCTGCACCACCAAATAAGTTTCCATGATCCACGGCTGTTATATTTTTAGATTTAAAAAAGCTACCATGAACTGAAATGAAAAGTTATTATAACAAAGAGAGTAAGACGCCAATAAAAATTAGTCTAGTTTACTAGACAGTAACTAAAATAATCAAAACAATAAATGTATTATTAGTTTAATTTGAAATTGTTTTAGTGGACCTGAATTAAAAGGTTGTCGTCAGAAAGAAACTCATCAACAACAGAACTGTTTTACGTGTTTAGTTTTAACAATAAGCTTGAATCTGATTATATACATCTTTATTTTGCGCCTCATCAATAAATAATGTACACATAACAGCTTAAGTATGAGTTGTCTTAGAAACCGTCGAACGTTGTCCTGAGGTTTTAATTCCTTTAACAATGAACAAACAACTGTTTTTATGTGTTTTGTAATTAATGACATATTCCACTGTATTTGTCGTACAACAGTTGCATTTGGAATGTTGCATTGTTAAACATTACATCCTTTATTCGGTCCCTTAGAGTTTTGTTGTCGAGAAAAAGAGTGTATGATGGTATTTCAACCATACTATGCCTTCTATATCCATTGCCAACGACGCGTTTTGCTCAATACCACAGCTTATCACGCTATTCGGACACAACAAATATATTAGTGGCCGGAACGCTATTTTTATAACAATTGCTATTCAAACAAATGACATATTTCCTTCTTTTAATGTAATTCCATTAATATTACTGGTTATAATGAAATAGTCATTAACAGTGAGGGTGTCAAACACTCCAACTGATGAATCAACACATTCTTATAATTGGAGGTTCTAGTATTCTTAATCAATTTAAGCTACTTTTACTTTTGATCATAAATTGTTGATAAAACTTTCTTAATCAGAGTGTTTTTAATGCTTTCTTTCCATAAGATATACGAAAAAGTCATAAGTTTCCTTAGGATAAGTCATAGAGAAACATAAAATAATTATATACATTGACTATGCAGAAGTAAGCAAAAAATATTTGGGTGTCATTCGTAGCAATTTATTGTAAACATATTATAATTGTCTTTGTGTACACATAACTGTGTTAAACGAGTAATCTAACAATATTTTAACACAAAGAAAAAACTGTCGTCATCACATTGCTGTTTTTAATGAACTGAAACACTATAATATCAACAAAATTTTGGGAACAATTTTGTAAATGGAATTGGTAGCACTTACCTTTCAAATCGGACCACACATCTTGGAAGTGTAGCCAAAACGAATAAATTATATAACTTTACGTCTTTCCTTCTGTCTGATATTACTGATAAAATACCAGCAAATATTTATAAATTTTAGTGAGTCCCAACATTTTGGTTTTCTCAGCATTACCTTTTAGTACTGCACGAAGCATCCTTTTAGACCCTATATAAAGGCCACTTTATGTCCTGTCACTACCGTAAGTGAAGTATTAGTATCGTTAAAAGTTCGATAAAATTGAATAAGCAGCGAAACTTATAATTGTGTGAAGTTGAAATGCGTGATTGATAGCGTTCTAGACGCCGATATGCGTAACATAGATTTACTAGTAAGTGTACTGCCACCAACACCTACATGGCGGGAACAGTGACAGGTTACTTAAAGTGACACCATGGGTCGCGTGATTCATATTTGAAGAATAACTTAATGCTGCTGTAATCGCCTCACCAATTACACCAGGAAGTGAGTATATACTGTTCAATCCTGTCTGTGCTAAAACTTAGTTTTATGTTCTATTTCTCCACTTATCATTTCTTGTAGTGTTTGTAAAGAGACCAGAAAGATTCACAGACGATAATTATTTAAAATAGTATAATTTGTGAAAACAACAACAACAACAACTTTATCTGTATCTTTGGGTTAGTGAAAATTTAAAAAGTATTGTATAAGAATTACAAAAACATCAACAATGATTATTAATCAATTTATGAACGATCCCCTTTTTTTCTATAAGGTATTCGTAGTTCAGGTGCTTACAATAGCACATTAAATTTTGTACCGAGCGTGTGCAAAGTTTATTACCTTAAACTTTGACCTTTATCTCCTAAAATGATACAATTCTGATTTTCAGAAATTTTTAAGAACTTTTGAGTGAAAACAAAGAATGTGTAATAATATGTCAACTACTCTAAATCTGCCATAACAAGTGTCGACGACGCTTTTCGCCCAATACCAGAGCTCATGTGGCCAGCTGGGAAAGAACAGATAGAGCAGTGATCGAGGAGTTATTTATTTTGTCAAATTTAGGAACAACGACTTTTATGGAATGAGTTAGATTAAAGAAGTAAATTGTAATTATTATCAATTATATTCGTGTTATTTACAAATCATAATTAAGGCAATGATTAGTAACACAATATTACTTGTTTATTTATTTCTATTTCTTGAAATAACTTTTACCGTAATTCAGAAGAAGTGGTCTGCAACTCTGGCCTCTTTTTCTGGTGTGTGTGGGTGGGGGGGGGGGGGGAAAGACTATCGACCAGATGTGAAATAAGCAAACATTACTGAATGCCAAAACAAAATATCTATTGATAACATACAATCAATACATCTGAAGGTTTTTAATGACGCATGTGATGTTACTAATACGATCGCGTCACAAAGCTGGTCCAACTTAGCCAATTCAGAATATTTCAAACCTAAACGAAACCGATGCGCTTGGCTTTGTATATAACTAGAAAAAAATAAAACTTTCCGCTATATAAATAAACAGTGATTATTAGAGCATGATGCACGTACTCGTGGCCTGGCATGGCCAGGTGGTTAAGGCACTCGACTCGCAATCTGAGGGTCGCGGGTTCGAATCCCTCTCCCACCAAACATGCCGTGGGGGCGTTACAATTTGACGGTCAATCCCACTATTCGTTGGTAAAAAAATAGCTCAAGAGTTGGCGGTGGGTGGTGATGACTAGCTGCCTTACCTCTAGTCTTAAACTACTAAATTAGGGACGGCTAGCGCAGATAGCCCTCGGGTAGCTTTGCGCGAAATCCATAACAAACAAACGTACTCATATACTCGTGTTTGTCACACAAGTGATATATATATCATGATATACGGGATGAGATGCAAGTACCTTTTCATTAGCCTTAGAAAGTTCACTGGGTTAATTAATTACACTTTATATGAGTACACTACTCGTGCCCCCCACCCCAGTGACTCAGCGGTAAGTCTGAAGGCTCATAGTGCTAAAAATTGGGTTTTTGATACCAGTGGTAGGC